GAAATAGGATGAATATATCTCATATTATGATCAAAATATTTTTACAACTTATCTTGTGCGTAATATAATATCGACATCCCAAAATTTTATCTATTTTACCTTGTGTATAGTTGGGTTTGTCAACTTTTTTCATTAATAGTTAGTCATAGTTTGCTCACAATTTGTTATCAATAATTTTTTAGTTCGTAACCCTTTTAAATAACTTTTTTCTATTAGAATTGACTAAGTGCGTCTAAATTTTTCCCCGGTTCTTCTCTACATTTTTATATATTAGTTGTCAGTCAGAAATTTAACTGTTTTTTTCATTCAATATTTCAATATAGAAACTAATATGCTGCAATGACTATTAACCGTGAAACTTGTGATAAATTGTAATATTTTGCATTTCTTCCTTTCTCTAACATTTATGCTTTCCAACCCATGTGCAGCAACGGCAGGCCCTCTCAGATGCTGCCGCGACACGTACCCGCCGTATCACTTGGCTTGGTCTAGGCGCAATGGGTCTGCAGTTCGGCATCCTCGCTCGCCTTACCTGGTGGGAGTACTCCTGGGATATCATGGAGCCAGTGACATATTTTGTTGGATATGGCACTAGCATGGCAATTTACGCCTATTATGTGACCACACGACAGGTACAACTTGGCCTTGAAAGTTTCAGAAAGCCGACTGTCGGCTAAATAGCAGCTGATAAATTAAATTAATTGATTGGTATTCTTTCGTAGAAAGCGATTCTCTAATTCGATGTAGTTCGGTTTCCTTATGTCTCGTACCACCTGTCCTGAGCTAATTCTAAGTCTTTTAATCTAATATGCAAATATCTTGTTGAGATTGCATTTCGTCTTCAGGCTGAAGAGTGAAACAAAGTATTTAATAAGAGTGCGAATCATCCTAAATAGTGTATTGTTAAGTTAGGATCTATAGAAGTGGTTTGACCTCGTTTTCATGTCTTGGTTATGTTACTTAGTGCATTCAATTAGTTCACCCTGACAACAAGACCAAGTTGAGACTAACATCAAGATAGAGGCCACGACATTATTGTCTTCATAGATAATTGCCAATAATTGAATTTTCTACAATCAGATCAATAGACCTCACGCTGTCACTGAAGTTCGCATTGCCTTTGCTATCAGAACCCTTTATCATCTCGTATGAACTGCGGATCAAAACTTCTCTATGTCTCATCTGAACTCCCAAAAAACGAAACCTTTTCGTTCGTTTCGAGCAGCAACCCTATCTCTCTACCTCAACACAACGGGTCCAGGTGGAAACTGTGTAGATGTGGCTTTTAATGATAGCAAGATCTCTCCCAATCCATAATTATGTTGGAACTAGTATAAATAAGATAAATTTGCATCTGCTAGTTTAATCGGCAGTATTAATATATAGAGAGATAGTAACTTCTTTCATTATCTTATACGACCTTCGACGACAAATCATTAATTATGATTAGATTATATAGCAAATACATGTATTGCCTTGT